AGGCTGCAGCGGGCCAGGCGTGGAGCCGCTACGCGGAGGCCGAGCGAGCACGGCTCGGGTCTGCGCCAGCCTCCCTGGAGGCGGCGGCCGGTGCGCTCATCCGCCTTCCCCTTGCAGTTACGGCGCCCGCCGCCGCCGGTCTGAGGCCCCCGGGACGCGCCCAACCCCAGCCGGGATGGACGAGGAGAGCCTGCAGGCGGCCGTGCAGACGTACCGCGCGCAACTGCAGCAGGTGGAGCGGGCGCTAGGCGCCGGCCTGGACGCCTCGGAGCAGGCCGACCTGCTGCAGCTGCGGGGCGACCTGGCCGAGCTGATCGAGCTCACAGAGGGCAGCCTGCTAGCGGCCCGGAGGAGTCGGCTGCCGGCCGGGGCGGAGCCCGAGGGCCTGGTCGAGGACCCGGCTGTGCAGAAGGCGGCGGCCGGAGCACCCTGCGCCGCAGCGCCCGCAGCGCCCGCGGCTGCGCTGCCCGAAGAGGCCGCCGGGGCCGCGTTGAGCGGGACCAAGGTCAGCGCCCCCTACCGCAGCCCCTGGGGCACGCTGGAGTACCACAACGCCATGGTGGTGGGCGCCGAGCAGGCGCAGGACGGCCCGGCCGCCGTGCGCGTGCTGTACCTGTACCCCACGCATAAGGCCCTGAAGCCCTGCCCGTTCTTCCTGGAGGGAAAGTGCCGCTTCAAGGAGAACTGCAGGTAAAGGCGCCCGGGCACCTGCAGCCTGGTCCCCAGGGCCGCAGAGCGGCTGCCGGGCCCAGCGCACCCCAACAGGGCCCTTGCTTACAGCCCGCTGGGCTTCCACGGGCCCCCAGCCCCGCATCCTGTCCTCCCCAGGAGGAAATCGCTGCCACTCTCCTGGGTCGGGGAGCGTTTCCAACGGGCCCGAAACTAGAGCCGTAGGACAGCGCTGCCCCGGCCCTGTCATCAGCTCTGCCAGCGGGCAGCGGGTGCCAGTCTTGCTCCATCCCTTCTCCCCACCGACTTTTCCTTCCCAGGAACGTTTCAAAGCATCTTGTAGGGATTACTGTCCTTCTAACCTGTAAGTTGCTCAAGATACTCTTGTAACAGATAAAGACGTTGTGAAAAGAGCAGGTCACTGGGTCACTCCTTCCTGCCCAGTGTTACAGTGGTACCTGGCTCAGGACCACGTTTCCACAGTTGCGCCCAGGTGTCTCTTTTCATTAAGTATGTGATTTTATTTTCACTCCGGTTTTGGAAGGAACACCTATAGGTCCTTCTAGTCAATAACTTCCCTTTTGTAGCCAACAGTCTAAGGAGCTGGCTCTCTTTCTCTGACTGTCTTATCACCTCATAGGTTCCTGTTGGGTCCAAAGTCTTATTTGGGTAAAGGCTTCTTTTCTTTGTTCCCTCTTTGTCTGTGAGTCTTATAGATGTGCGCTATGTGTACAGAACGGTGTGTGAGCCATGCTTTCCTCAGCGTGGCCACCACGGTGGAGATACCTGTGTCCAGGCAGCCAACTCCAGGAACAGCAGCAGACCTCTCAGTCTTCCTGGCAGACCCCAGCAAGCCTGCGGTGTCCCGAGGGGATGAGGAGGCCCAACGCTTCCTGGCGGTGTATCTTGGGGTCGGGCGCCGTGTAAGAATTCTGGCACCAGAGCCCTGGAAGTGGCACCATTTCACAGCCAGTGAGCTCAGAAGAGATGGAGCTGGCTGAAGTGCCTTTTAAACACCCACCTTGTCACCACCCAGGGCTGAGAAGTTATTTTCTTGAATTTGCTTTGGATTTTTTAAAATACAGTAGGGACGTTGAGGTATCTTCTAGCCTGCACACCATCACAGCACCTCCCCTGGCTTCCACAGCTCAAATTTGGTGTGTATTGTAGCATGTTTTTGTCCTTTACAGACACGTGTGTCTAAGTACATCGGTGCTTTGTTTTGAAATAAAAGGGGTCACATGGCACAGCTCTTTTGGAACCTTGCTTCCTCTCTCTCTCTTGGAATGCCCTGGAGGAACAGCCACATGGGTGTTCACAGAGCCCTTCTGCTCGTTTTAACTGCAACCTTGCAGGCCCATGTGTACGACCCCACAATGTTTTTATTCTCTGTCCTCCTGATGGTTCCCCCTTCGTGCTGCACACGTCCTAGTCCATGCCTCCATTTGCTCAGGGAGGGTTTCTCCCACGTGCAGAGTTGGCCGAGAAGGCCACGTGGTACAGGTGTGCATGTATAGTCCTCGTTCCTCGTCAGGGCCCAGACCCCTTCAATGGCTCCCCATGGTGTGGTCAGATTTTCTAGTTTGTGAGAGGATGTCTGGCTCTAATGCATTTTTTGATGACTAGTGAGGTCGGCCACATTTTTGTCAGTTTGCTGTAACTCAGCCTCACCCTTTTTCAGTCTCTGTAAGTGGGGAGGAGCGTCACATGTATGTTGAAAGGATAGAATGTGTTAATACGTACAAGGAGTTTCCAACAGTGCCTGATGCTCAGCAGGTTTTCATAGTGTAAAACATAGCTTAGCACATCATGGGAAAGTGATGACCCTGGTAGTCATCACTCAGAGACTGAACCCCAAAGCCTCCCTGCCCAGCCCCACACAGCCTTCTCCCTCTTCTGGAAGCAACCACAATGCCTACTTTTATTACATTGCCTTCCATGTATTTCTTGTGGCTTGTCACCCGAACCGTCCTTGCTGTTTTCTGTGGAGGGACTGGGCCTTTGACGCTGGTGGTGCCCTGTGGAGCCAACCAGCCCTCTAAGATCAGGGGCTCACAGACCCGGCTTGGTCCCCAGCAAGACCCAGGCCTGCTATGCCGTCAGGAACGTGTGATGGCCGCTTGTGCTCTTCTGTGACGTTGGCAGGTGCTGGTGCCCCACTAACTCATCAGGGTTATAGAGTGGAGCTTTGCAGTTGTTTCCATGTACTTTGATTTTTTTTTTTTTTTAAATTGAAGGTTTATGGAGCAGATTGATTTTCATTTGAACAGTTCACACACTTTGTTTCATGACACTGATTGCAGTCCCCACAGTGGAACAGCTCTCTTCCCACTTCTGGCCTGTGGTCACCTTTTCCCTGTGTCCTTCTGTCCTACGCATTCCTGCCCTCTGAGCTGTCTCCCTGCCCACATGCTGCCCTTCCAGTCTCCCACAGTTGACTGTTCTAAGGAGTGCATCTTCCGGTGTAGGCCTGTCTGTTGTTTGGCTGGAAGCCACAGGAGTGAGTTCAATTCCAGGCCCAAAGGGTGACTAGGGGCCATACATAGTCTCAGGGGTTTCACCAGTCTATCAGACCAGTAAGCCTGGTCTTTTTCATGATTTTGAGTTTTGTTCCACATTTTTCTCCGTTCTTTTTCATTTATCAGCTGGAATTTTATGAAGAGACACTTGTCCTCATCTATAATTTGAGTACTCAATAGTACAGTTCCTATAGAAAAGACAGAGTAAAGGTTTATTTTGTTGTTGTTTATTTAGCTTCTGAGATAAGTTGCTTTCTTTTCATCCTAAGAAATAAAGAATTAGCTTTTAAAAAAACTAATACCTTTACGAACTCATGGAATTAAATATGTTTTATAGATTTCGCCCCATTGCACTTTCAGTCTTTAACGAAGTTCGGTTGTCCTGTCTTTGCCCGATGGGACCTTCTTAATGCTGGCTCCTAAGTCTCTTCCACGTGACCTGTGGTCTTTGGTGGCTTCTTTGCTGTCTGGTGGTCAGGTGTCCCATGCTTGCCCATGTGTCCCCTGCCCCAGACTTGGACTCTGCCAGTTCTCCAAGAAGCCGTACCTCCTTTTAACTGGATGCAGTGTCCCAAGACCCACACTCCAGGATGGCCACTGTTTCCAGGTCTTTCCGGCAGACAGAGCTGGAAGATACAGGTGGATATGTAGATTTACATGGACACACACATACATTGTGTTTGTGGTCTGTTGTTTTCGAAATCAACAGACCACAAACACAATGTATGTATCTGTATTTTTAAGGGTGAGATACCTCATGAGTTCATACTGGTATTTCTGATTCAAACCGAGGACCGTGGTGTTTCTCTCTAACCTCTTTTGGATTACAGTTGTAGTCTCTTCTACTCCAAGAAGGCTAGTTCTTAAGGACATAGAGGAAGACAGAAGCCAGGTGTCCTATAATGACTCATCGCCTTATCTTCCTTTTCACACAGAATGTCAGCACCCATCCCACCACCACCAACTATGATGATGAAAACTGTTTATAGTTCCTTATTGGGTACAGTCCACACTCTCCCTGCCACTTTTTCTGATTGTTCTAGGTCTCCATTGTCATAGGGTATGGCCACTGTCATCTCCGTTTTAGCCCTGAGTGAGGCTCAGTGAGACAGGAGCTCTGCCTGATGCCTGTTACCTGTCTGTCTTGTGTCTTCCTGGTCACTTAGTGTGGTGCAGTGAATTACTTCATATGGCTCTTCTAACCATGGTCTTTGTGACTCCCACAGACGACTGTGTGGGACTATGCAAACGTGAGGTGCTTGTGGCCCACCAAGGGGAATGGGTAGCTTGTTAATAATATATGTAAGGTACGTGGCACCCTTGCATGAGTGAAACCAGGCAAATAGGTGTATGGAACCCTAATGTGGGGATTGGTCAGTTTTGTCATCTGCTAGGCTTACAGTGAGCTGTCCCAGAGGTGGAAAGGAAGACTCACTACTATCAAGAAAGAAGACTCAGGAGTGGAAGCATCCTTTGGACCCAATCCCTGCGCCGAACTTCCTGGATCCAGGAGAGAGAAAGAGCTGTAACACTTGGCTGAGGTGGTAACAAAGAACCTGCAGCAGCAGAGGCAACAGAACCAAGAGACCAGCCCGAGACAGCGGTGAGCTTGCCAGCTTTCCAGGCCATGGAGCAAGAAAGCCAAGCGCCTATGGGCAGGAGGCTTACTGGCAGAGTGGGGGTACTTGTGTGGGCACCTGTCCACAGAACTAAAAAACCTTTGTAGCACTTGCCCAAGCAGAACAGAGGCCAGGCTGAGGGCCCAAGGGCCAAAGAGAGGTATGCCTGCAGGCATGGCTAAGAGGAGGCTGTCCTGATGAAGAATTGTACCTTGAATGTTCTTCAACCTGAACTGTAACCTAGTGTTTCCCCCTTAAATAATCTGTGAGTTCTGTATGGCCATTGCAACCAGTTATCCAAGACAGCAGAGAAATAGAGTGCTGTGAGCGATAGCTGATGTCAGGATTGGTGAGAAGGTTGGAGGGTGGTGGCTTGTCCAACCTCTGCCTTGTGGGAATCGGCTTTGGGCTGTTGATGTGGATCTTGATCCTTCTCCCCCTTATGAAGGTTCAGGATGCCCCTACATTCTTTCGGCACTTTGTCATCTTAGGAGGGGGCCCTGGCTCTCACAGCTTGATGTGTTTTGTTTCCCTCACACTGGAAGGGCAGTTATGTGGCATAGAAAACCCTTCCTTGATCATTTGTACATATCACTCAGTTTTTTCCTGTCAGAAACCACAGAAGCTCTGGTACCGAATTGCGTTTCCCTTGTAAGTCACACGTTCTTTTTGCCTCTGAGGCCAAAAGACTGCTGCTTTTTCTTTATAAAGTTCAGTCATTTTCCTAAAATACATCTTGCTGTTGACCATTCTGAGCTGATATTTTCAGAAACATGGTATGATCTTTCAGTGGGTAGTTTCAAACCTTTTGTGTTTTGTTTTCAGGAATTAGTTTCAACATATGTCTCACCCCTGCTGGCTCTTCTTGACCTGTCTTTCTGCC